AAAAAAAAAAAAAAAAAAAAAAAAAAAATGGTTTGGAAATATTTCTAACCTTCAAAGATTATTGTGGAATTAAATGATGTAATGTGTTCATGAAGTGAGGCACATAGAAGGCCCTGAAAAAAATAGTTATCTTTATTTCTCTTTGTTACCTCAGGCATAGAGCTAATTATATCTTGTCCTCTCCCAAGCTTGAAGAGGACTAAATGGTCTGGCAACTCCTGGTCTCAAGATCAGAAAGTGCCAATAATGGGGACAAGGGGGTCTACCGCTAGAAGCTGTACCAGGGGAGCAAATCCAGTAGGCACTACCAATCTGTAAAGCTGCCTAAAAGAACTCCTGTCAGCAATGGGTTCACTAGATGACAAGATATTGTGGAGACCAGGTCTCTAGCCCTAGGAGAAGATGGACTTAGCTTGGACCATACCTTCCAGCCTATTCTCTTGGTGGGAAGTGGGAGTTGGCCATGGGTGTACATATATCCTTATTACTGAGTGTGCCCAAGCTGTGCAGAAATGATTGTTGAACAAGGTCATCTTGTACTCTGGGTTGATTTTGCAGACTCTCTGTTATTTTACCCTGAGTTTCCTCTGTTCTCCTGTTGCAACACCAACCCCACCATTCTTTCCTCCTCTATCCTAGTTGTTGATCCAAATACATGATCCATTCTTGCATTGAGTTACACTATGATTAGAGTTTGCATTGCAGGACTTATTTCTCTAATTAGACCTGAAAGTTTGTTTCAGATAAGTACCTTTTTCTGCAGGAGACAAAAAGAGATCAGCAGCAGATTTTGTTGTATTTATTCATTTAAATTGAATAATCCACTTCTTTCTTTGTTTTATATCTTTTTAAACATTATTATTATTTTAAGGAGGTTAGAGATAAAGTGGTTTATGGTATACCTCAGTGCACCTGCCTATACTAGGGCTCAGAATAATGACCGCTTCAATTATTTATATTTGTGCCAATATAAATGTTGGGGAAGTAAACATTAAGATGCCCAAGGACCTCTAAGTTGTGTGTATGTGAGCATGTGGGGAGGATGGTTCATAAGATTTGGGTTTTGGATTATTGTTGTTTTAAATAATGTTTTTATCATTCTTTCTATTGGCTGCCTCCTAGCATGGTTCCTCTATTTCAGCCCTTCAGATTCCCCCTGAGCATTTTGCTAAAGAAGAAAATCAATATGTGTGTTACAGTGCATATTCACTGTAGGTGTAATATCTTACAATATTTGAGATTGTTATAGTATTCAGTGTGAAGTGTTGCAACACCAGAAAATTCCAGTTTCTTTAGCAGAAATTCGGAAGATCGAATTAGGTAGTCTGAAGATGAGAAAAGATATTCAAGGCCATTTAAAAAACTCATTTTGGATGCTTCAAGCTTGAATTCTTTTTTTAACTTTATTTTTATTGTTCACACCATTACAGATGTCCTCATCCCCCCCCCCCACCTTTGCCCAC